TATATACAGGTATTCTCTCTATATACAGGTATTCTCTCTATATACAGGTATTCTCTCTATATACAGGTATTCTCTCTACATACAGGTGTTCTCTCTACATACAGGTATTCTCTCTACATACAGGTATTCTCTCTATATATAGGTATTCTCTCTATATACAGGGATTCTCTCTGTATACAGGTATTCTCTATATACAGGTATTCTCTATATATACAGGTATTCTCTATATATACAGGTATTCTCTCTGTATACAGGTATTCTCTCTATATACAGGTATTCTCTCTATATACAGGGACTCTCTCTATATACAGGGATTCTCTCTGTATACAGGTATTCTCTATATACAGGTATTCTCTCTACATACAGGTATTCTCTCTATATACAGGGATTCTCTATATACAGGTATTCTCTCTACATACAGGTATTCTCTCTACATACAGGTATTCTCTCTGTATACAGGTATTCTCTCTATATACAGGCATTCTCTCTACATACAGGGATTCTCTCTACATACAGGTATTCTCTCTACATACAGGTATTCTCTCTACATACAGGTATTCTCTCTATATACAGGTATTCTTTCTATATACAGGTATTCTCTATCTATACAGGTATAAGCACCACTGGGTTTGCTTCTCTAAAGAACTCACTAAGACACTCATGAAGCAACATCTCCCTACTTTGTGGCTTAGATTTTAACACTACTGTGGGGACTGGAAGTAATTGGAGCATATCCATCCTTTTTGAATACACATGCAGCATTTGTCCTACTGACCGCACACTCGGCCACAAAACAAAGCTCAGCAGATGTTAAAGAGCCGATCCGCAGTTCTCCAAACAACTCCGCTGCTGGTCCTAGTGGGCAGAGCAGCAGCAGACAGACAACCCAGCTTCAAGAAGTGGTCTGCGAGCGTCCAACAAGCACCCTTCCCACAGCCAAGATGCCCAAAAGGAGGGTCAGCTGGGCTTAAGGGGCGGTGAAGGAAGGGCCCAAGAGCAGATGGGCAGGGTTGCCAGTGAAAACCAGGCCTGCAAAAGTGGAGACAAAGCCGAAAAAGGCAGCAGGGAAGGATAAATCTTCAAACAAAAAAGCGCAAGCCAAAGGGAAACGGGGAGCAAAGGGAAAAAAGGCTGAAGTAGCAGACCAAGAAACTCAAGACTTACCTGCTGAAAACGGATCATGAAAAAAGAGGAGCACCCAGCCTCTGATGAAGCAGGAGAAAGAGAAGCCAAGTCTGATTCATGTTTATCTACCATGTCCTATCCATGGGCCCTGTTATCTCCCTTCTTGTACAATCCAGAGGAATATTTTTATCAACTATTTTGTAAATGCAAATATTTAGCAGCTCTAGAAACATTTTTAAGAGGAAATCCCACTTCATCCCCCCACACACACACCTTTTTTTTAAGTGTGAATTTTTTTTTTTAAGACGTGAAATCATTTACTGGTTGTTTATTTTTTTGGCAAAACCAGAAAATAGAGAGACTTGCAATTATGGGACTATTTGACTGTCATGGGTGTCAACATAACATTTCATGGGATTGGGAGGGGGGGGGCGGTGTTGTAGCCCTAATACAAAACATACATAATGACAATTTGAAGCAACTGTCCTGCATTTATATAACTTGAACATGTAAAATTCTATCTCCATATTGTTGTTGTTTTTAGAATTGTGTCTGAAAACCATCCACCTTCATGACCATCTTGTAGAACTGTGTGGATACTATAACACCTGTGGTCATAGCAGTCCAGTGTTCCTGTTCACTGTGTTCTGGGCTGTGCAGGGTTGAACATTCCAGTGTGTACTGTGCATGGCGTTAAATTGTGAATTACTGGAACTTACGATATAATAGCTTATCAACATTTGAAGATAATGGAACTTCATAACCCCTTCAAAAAATTTTTTGATTATTTTTAAAATCATCTTATTAGGGGCTCATACAACTCTTATCACAATCAATACATACATCCATGTGTAAAGCACATTTGTACATTCATTGCCCTCATCATTCTCAAAACATTTGCTCTCCACTTAAGCCCCTGGCATCAGCTCCACATTTTCCCCCTCCCTCCCTCATGAACCCTTGATAATTTATAAATTATTATTTTGTCATATCTTGCCCTGTCTGACGTCTCCCTTCACCCACCTTTCTGTTGTCCGTCCCCCAGGGAGGAGTTCACATGTAGATCCTTGCCATCGGTTCCCCCTTTCCAACCCACTCTCCCTCTGCCCTCCCAGTATCACCCCTCACACCACTGATCCCAATTTTTTACTTCCAAACTTACAGCTGGAAAATCACTGGAAGTTATAAAAGAATTGTATCTACATGCCAATTTAGGATTTGGGCACGGGCATTATGAATTGTGTACAAATTGTTCATGGTGTTTCTGTACTGATCTCAAAACAACCCATAAAACGCGTTACAAAGGAAAAAGAACAAAACGTGCAGGTCTCGTGCAGACTATGGTCTCTTCCCTAATGCAGTTTAACGGGCAATTACCATCAGATCACCAAAAGCGCATTATACATCTTGAAAATTTGAAAACATACTTCTAAATAACTACTGTTATTTAGAAATATTTGTTGGAAATTGGAAAATATTTAAAAGCAAGTGGAGATGAAAAGCAGCTAGCTACGCTCATTGGGAAAAATGTAAAGCCTCAAATGCCACAGTGAAGGAGGAGGACAGAGGGGGGACAGGACAGGCGGGAGCAGCGGCCTCAGCTGCCACAAGACGAGAAAGGGCAATGGAAGCAGTGCGCTCAGCATCCCAACTAAGGAACTCGGAAGATAACAGAAGTAACAGCATCGGGCATAAAGGAAAACCATAAGAGCAGATATCAACACCAGACAAAATAAGGAAATAATGGAATCAACAAACCAAAGGCTGGTTCTTTGAAAAGATTGAGCAGGAGAATCTTTGGGCAAGGATTGGCTTTGTTTTTTTTAATGCTTAAAAATGAAGGTAGAGGCATAACTACAGATATTTTGGAGATGTAGAAAATGCATTATGCAAATTAATACTATGACAATGAATTTGAAAACTTAACATTTTCCTTTTTTAAAAGGGCAATTTACTAAAACTGATCCAAGAAGATATTTGAAATTTGACAATAAATTTGAAAACTTAACATTTTCCTTTTTAAAAAGGCAATTTACTAAAACTGATCCAAGAAGAAATTTTTGTAAGTGACTATACCAGTAAACCATTAGAGTGACTGAAATACTGTCTAAAATCTGTACAAAACACACACACACACAGAGACCCAGTTCTATCTCTTCCCTCTCCAGATAGGAACGCAGCAGTTCTGAGCTGTTTCCTCTCCAGAGCTCCCAGCAAGCACTGGGCCGGGTGGATGCTGTGGGCCAGGCCAGGCGGGTGTGGCCAGGACAGCCTGTGAGCATTCCCAGGGCAGAAAGAAGCGAGTGCAAAGCTCTCCAGCACAATGCTCTTGGAATGCTCTCAACTGGGACAAGCTGGTACTTTTCATTTTCTTCCCAGGGACACCAAGGTGATGGAAAAATCATTCTCTACCCAACTGGCGTGGTCTTCCAAATCCTCTTTCCTGATGGGACGGGCCAGATCTAGTATCCACTGTCAATTGGGTGGGGCCGGGTCTGCTTGTTGAGGGATCTCCCTTTTCCCGGAAGCCCAGGGGAAAGCCTGTGCCTTAACCACCTCCTAGTTATCCATCAGGAAACCTGGCCATGCTCATCCTCGGTACCTTTGCTGAAAAGTTCACGTACATCATTCTGGAAGACACTGAGAGCATGTGGGTACGGGCCCTGATCAACAACTCCGGCCATGCCACCTTCTACGATGAAAACAGAGCTATCTGGTAAGTCGAGCCCAACTTGTGGTGACCTAATGTGTGTCAGAGTAGAACCAGGCTCCATGGGGCTTGCTAAAGGCACCTCTGGGTGGGCTCAAACCACCAACCTTTGGGGTTGGCCCCACCCTGGAACTCCTAAGCTTGCCTAAGCATTTGTACCCCTGAAGGACTACTAAGCTTGAACCCCAAATGCTCCCTGCTGGTGGAGGAGCAGAATGGGCTCTTTGGTTCCCAGTATGCTCTGTCTTCCTGCCTCACCAGCTAAGTGGCTCTCTGTCTCCCACCTATGGATTTATTCATCCACCTACCCTTGGAAATAAGAGGTGGATATAAAGTTGGACTAGGGGGGAGATATGTGCCCCTCCCTGTGAGCCACCACCTCCCCCGCAGAGAAGCAGGGGTCATGGCACAGAACGATCCCACTCGGTGGCTTACATTTTAAGCACCTCTTTCGAGAATTGCTTTAGAAAGAGCCACCCCTCTCGGTTCTGGGACCTCCGGGAAGAAGGCTTGCAGGGCTTTGGAGAGGCCTGGGTGGTGTCCAGAATTCACGGGCAGATACGGGGCTCAGCAATGCAGCTTCTCCAGACTTCATTATAAATGGTCTTAGTCCGTAAGTTCCCAGTCTTGTCATGGTGAAGAAGTTCAGCGAGCCGACTCAAGACGCTTCTCCATCTCCTTTGGGAAAGGTCGCCGTGTGTCGGGGTCCCCAGCCCCCTCCCCTCGACCCCTAGCCAAAGTGTGGGAGTTCAACCCCAGCCAGAGGGGCCTTAGCAGTGGGGCCTGGAGAGCTGCTTGGAAAATCCCTCCTGCAGAAACACGTGGGGTCACCAGGGGTCAGAAGAACCTGATGGCCATGGCATGGGAAATGCTAATGACCTCAGATCAGCTCTCAACTTTCTTTCTTCCTGCTAGTCAAAACTAGCACTGTTTTTGGTTATTCCAAAAAGTCTCCCCCGCCCCCCCCCAACTCTCTCAACCTTGGATTTGAAGATGATTTTCTCAGCTAGGGGTTTTCCAGCCCCATCCCCGTGACTGTGTTGTGTTCTCTGGGGGAGGGCAGCGGTGGGGGGAGGGACTGTGTGGGTGGGACAGGATGGTACACCAAGTACAACGGAAACCGGGGCGAGAACCCCCTCGGATTTTCATGAGGGCCGCTTCTCCCTCAGGGTGCTGACTGTCAGGGCAGAGGGACCCTGGAGAAGCCGACATCCTGAGGGAAGGAGCCACGCTGGCTCTCTGAGGAAACTGGGACCAGGACTCTCTTCCCTGAGCACACGCAGAGTCACTGGGAGTCGTTCTGGGACATTCTTGAAAATCATCAGACCAGGTGTCTGAGAGTCGCACCCACATCATCCCTGAATCTCAGCTCTCCACACGAAGGTCTAGGATGAGGCTCAGAGGGGGGCTGAGGGCTGAGGGCCTTCAGGGAGCCTGGGCAGCAGGGCCCTTCGAAGCTTCCAGCAATTGCCAGTGGGCCACCTCGGGGGAACCCACAGCTTATCTCCCCTGAGTCTCTATGGCTCCGGAAAGTGGCAGGTTCCAAAAGCTGGCAGCAGCTGCCCCCCACCCCCACCCCCCCCAACTCAAAGGGCTTTGTTTTCCACTTGAGGTTATTTAAATAAGATAAAGACAGGAGACCCTCAGAGAAATCACTCAGTGCCCTCCTTAAAGTTCCCGGAGGAACCCACCTGGCCCCCTCAGGGAGGAGTTGGCCTGATACTCGGGCTCCCCTGGGGCTCTGGGAAAGCTTTGATTCTGTGAAGAACTTCCCCCAGAACACCTTGGCTTCAGTTCAGGGTGTAGAAACCCGTCCTTCCTCACCGTCCCCTATCCCCCCCATCCTGCTACCTTTTTGTCCTTGGAAGCGTTTCCACACACCTGCTAACCGCTTAATGACAGGTGGGCTCAAGTACACCGACAGCTCGCCCTCCTCACCCTGTAGACAGCCAGGCATTTCTTATATGCACCTGGGGTGGGGGGGTCCTCACCGCATTAATGTGGTTAGCAGATGAGCCTGTTCACAGACTGCTTGCCCCCTCCAACCGCCCCCCCCCCTCCCCAAGAGCTGCTCTTCCTTTCTTCAACCACTGCCAGGCAGTCACTGACTCACAGTGACCGGTAGGACCAAGTAGAACTGCCCCTGTGGGTTTCCAAGGAAACAGACTGCCCCACCGTCATCTGGTGGGCTCAAACCGCCCAAATCGAATGACTGGATTCAGGGTGTCAGCGGGACCGTGCTGTCCCAAAGACGCTGGGGGTTGGCCCTTCCTGGCCTGTCCCAGCTCCTGGTGGTCTCCGAATCCTGGGCCTCTGGGGGCAGCCTAACGTCACCTTCGCATGCTCATTTCCCTCCGACTCTCTTCTCCTCCTTTCTGAGACCCACTCGACCGCAGTAGGCCCTCTGCAAAGACACTGTTCCTAAATATGGTCACTATCCCTCCTGGGCCTCAGGGGTTAGAGCCTCAACACAGGTTTTCAGAGGACACATGTCCACACATGACACACCCCTGAAGAGGCCCCTCCAGATTCAGTCCATTTCTGTTTGTTCTAGGTCTCATTTTCCTGAGGGCACCTAAGCCCCAAGGTTCGCGCCCCCAGCCAGAGCTAGACCTCTGACCTCAGGGGGTGGGGAGCTCTGAAGGGTGCCCGCCTCTCCATCAGTGGTAACCAGGAAATTCTCATCTTTGTCACTTCACTGCTGTCCCTAACCAAACTCACTGCCAGCGAGGCAATTCTGATGCATGGTGACCCTACAGGACAGGAGAGCGCTGCCCCTGCGGGTTTCTGAGACTGTATCTCTTTAGGATTGTAGAAAGTCTCATCTTTCTCCTGCAGAGTGGCTAGTGGTCTCGAACTGCTGACTTTGTGGTTAGCAACCCGAGGGATAACCACTACACCACCAAGTGTTATTGCTATAGACAGGAATGTAATGCTTCCAGCAGCCCTTTGAATAAGGAACTCTTGCTAGCCCCATTTAGTGTTTGAAAAAAACTAAAGCATGAAAAGGTTAAGCAGTGGTCCAAAGCCCACACACCTTGCAGCTGGCAGAAGAGCCGGGCTTCGACCCTGCCGTCCGGCCCAGGTTTTGGATGCACCACTCTGCACTCCTGATTTGTTTCCATGGAAAGGGTAGTAGGAGGTGGTCAAGTCTGTCCCCACAGTCCTCTCCGTCCACAGAGGAAGCCCCAAGCCTCTCCAGCAAGAACACACAGATGGTCTCAGAAAGCCAAGCTCCATGTCCTCCTGACAAGCGGTCTCGACACCCGGTGCCGGCTTTCTGTGTGAGGGGTGCCACTGGGACCCCAAATAGATGAAGTCCTGGCTCCGGTACCCGTGAACGTCATCCCGTTTGGAAACAGCCTTTTCTTTGACTGATGTTAAAGTCGTGCTGGAGTAGGTGGGTCCTAGACCTAATCCTTCTGCCTGGCGGCTTAATAAAGAGGAGAGAGAAAGCGAGGGAGAAGTCATGCCACGAGAGAGCATCCACTGCGCGCTCAGGAACACTAAGGAACAGATGTGCAGGGCTACCAACGCCTCCGGAGACCAGGGGGGACTTTCCGGAGCAACACGGCCCACCCGACACCCTGGATTCAGCTGCTAGCTCCTCAGATGGTGAGACCATAAATCATGTTTTCAAAGCTCCTCCGCCCCTCCCCTCCTGCCCCTTTCAACGGCAGCCTACGGAAACTGAGACACTATGAGATGTGGTGCTGCCCTCTCAGGAGCTCTGATGGGGTGCAGAAGGCAGAACTGAGGGTCAAGAAGAGACAGCTCACCTGGTGACGGGACCTGGGCAAGTTGAGGAGAAGCACCTCAATCTAGTTCCTCACTTGACACGGACGCAGGTGCCAGCACAGGGCTGGCAGCAGAAATCCTGCAGGGGAACAGACCAGGTGGCCCGCTCACCCTCGCAGCGCTTCCGTTTCCGTGGGGGAGGACAGACTGTGTAGCTGCGGCTGCGTGCTATTGAGTCAGTCGCGACCCATCGCGACCTCACGCACCCAGCAGGAAAACCGCTGTCCTGTCCTGCGCCATCCTCACCGCTGTTCCCAGGCCTGAGCCCATCGTTTCAGTACCGGGTCCACCCATCTCCCGGAGGGTCTTCCTCTCTCTCGCTGCCCCTCCACTTTCCCAAGCACGACGTCCTTCTCCAGGGACTGGTCTCTCCTGACAACACGTCCAAAGGATGTAAGACAAAGTCTTCCCTGCCTCTAAAGAGCACTCTGACCATTCTTCTTCCAAGAAGCGTACAGTAGCTAGGGGATCCTCATTGTTCACCGGAGCACTGACCTAGCAAACTCGGGACCAGCCTCCTACAGGGAGCCAGAGGAATTGTCTGCCGCTCCGTGCACATCCGTGGCTGGCTGGGAAGTTGCAGGTGATAAAGAAGAAATGAGGGGAGCCTGTAGTTTATCGTGAAGGATATGAAGAAAGCGAGTCAAGTGCGTGGCTGAGAAATGGGGGGGTCTCTGCTCCCTAGAGCTGCTCTCAGGCAACACTGCAGACGGGAGGTTCAAAGGGGCAGAAGCGTAACTCCTCAGCTCTGGAGAACAAATGTCCAACTCGTAACTCCTCAGCTCTGGAGAACAAATGTCCAACTCGGGGCCTGGGCTGCCAATTCCTGCCCTGTCGGTAGCCCTGGGCATTCCCTGGCCCCTGGGCTGGTAGACCCAGTCTTCAGTCTGACACACACACACACACACCCATCCTCCCTGTGTGGACATGTTGTCACCTCCAGTATGCCTTCTTTTATAACAGAAGTAATTTGATGTAGCCCCTGCCCAACTTGGATGTGACCTCATTAACTTTAAATCAAGAAAACCCTGTTTTCAGACAGTCACACCCACAAAGTCAGCATCCCAGCACGTATCTGGGGGCGGGGACACCAGTCCATAACAGGGCTGATCAGGAAGGGCCTCTCTGAGGAGGACACCCTAGATGCTGAGCCTCAGGGTAAAAGGAGACAAGCGGCCTAGGGTGGGAAAAGCGACATTCAAAGCCCCTGAGGGAGTGAAGCCAGGGGTGAACCAGACACTGAATGGGGGTGGGGGTCAGGACCTAGTAGGAGGCCACCAAGACCTAGAGTGCTCAGGGTGCCCTCCCCCTGCTGAGCACCTGAGGGCTGTTTTGTGGGCTGAGGAGAAGAGGGAAAGAAAGAGAGGGGCCCGGGCTCTCTGGACCAGGGAGAGGCCTTGGAGAGCACCCCACTCTGAGCTGGGCTCTGACCGCCCGGCCTGCCTTCCTGCTCTAGGCTGAGCCTGAGCCAAAATCTGGGCTACTACTTCACCAGGGGCTGCAGCCCCAAGGCCTGGAACTGGTGGGACCTTAACCTGCACATCCACGCACCCCCGGTCCAGCCCATCACGCTGATGATCAACCGCTACATCCGAGTCCTGATCTGGAGCCAGGATCAGATCCTCTTCTCCTTCCTCAGCCCCGCAAACTGGATTCGCTTAAACCTGGGCACCAAGTACAAGGTAAGGGGGAGGGCCCCCAGCCCTCCGCCAGGCTGATAGCCCACCTGTACTCGGGCACCTGCTAGCTCAACTGACTTCACCCCAGGCCCCTAAGCCCACCCACCCAGCAACACGCCAGTTACCAGCTACAACCCCGCCCACGGACAACACCTGTGCCCAGAGTTCAGCACCAAGTCCATGCAGGTGTGCATTTGGGGAGTCGATAGAAAGGCCCCAGGTACAGGACCGGCAGCACAGGTTTGTTCCCCAGTGAAGGTTCCAGGGACCGCTGAGTCATGGCCACAGAGGACTTGTCCCTGGGGGTGGGCGAGGGGTGGGGGCCGTGCCCGCCTCACCCATCCCCCTGTGGATTTCCCCAGCAGGTAACCGGAGAGGTGCTGAGGGAGATGAAGAAGGCAAGCGTCTGGGAACCGGAAGCCCACTCCACGGTGCAGAAAATCCAGATCCTTCTGGGGAAAATGAGCAAGACCCTGGGTCGGACGCCCATCCACAACCTGGAAACCTTTGTGGGGGACGCCAGGGCTCTGCTAGAGAAGGGTTTTCTGAAGGGCGATCGATGGTAGGACCACCACCCACTGTCTGTCTCAGCGACAGGGGGCCCCGGGAGCCCCAAGACAACCCCACGAGCCAGCTGGGTCTTCTGAGGGTCAGACTGTCCCGGCTCAGTAGTTTACCATGAGGGTTTCCCAAGTTGCTGCCAGCACAGGAAAGGTCTCCGCCTCGGCCCTGTCTCGCTAGCCTAGACGTACGGTAGGATGGGCTAAGTAATACACGTGCACCCCTGTTCTGTCTGACTCCCACACGTTCTTGTGTAACCTCCTGTGTTTATGCTCTTGACCCGGGACACAGACTGGCTGTTCAAAACCTAGCTTTGACACAGGTTGGCTGTGTGGCTTTAGGAAAGTTGTTTGCTATCGCAGTATTCTCATCTGAAAATGGCCTAGAAATAGTGCCAACAACACTCTCGAGGTGTGCGCATTGGATTGGGGGTGGGGGTGAGTCCCTAGACGGGTGCCCCGGCATAGAAACCACTCGGTAAGTGTTCCATCCCTGTTATCAGAAGCCTGGCCATCTGTGGGGAAACGTTCTTCAGATGTGACCTCTCTTCCGGAGGCCGTCAGTCAGCTGTCTGAGGCACCTGCTCTTCATGAGAGCGGCTGCTATGCTCGGGGCAGGTTTGAGGCCAGCCATCATGCCAGTTCCGGCTCCCTCGGGTCTGTGGCGAGCATGGTATCGTCTCTGTCAGGCCTGGCTCTGCGGCCCAGAGAGGACAGTAGCCAGCCAGGTTCACACACTGCTCAGTGATGAAGACCAGAGTTACTTGACTGCAAATGACAGCGGTGGTTTGCGTGTGTGTGTGTGTGCGTGTGTGTGTGTGTGTGTGTGTGTGGTGACTCCCCATCGCTAGTTGGCCTCAAGTCCATTCTGACTCCAACAGCCCCCACGTGACAGGGTAGAACTACTCCCCACGGTTTCCAAGACGGAGACTCTTTGGAAAGAAGCAGAGGGGCAGGCCTGGCTCCCAAGACACCTCTGGGTGGTTTGACTCCCACCCACTGCAGTCTTGAGTTCACTGTCTCACCACCAGGGAGCGCTGCTCCACAGAAAGTATGCGTCCGCCTCTGGAAGGCAGCCCCCTCCTGAGCACCACCCCCAGGGACCTCCCCCTAGGGACCTCATCCTGAAGGCTGAGAGAGAGGACCTGCCTCGGGCCCCTGGATTCCTATACATTCTGCAGAAACCCTGTCCTCACCCCAAACACCTCCTTTCCCACCCCACTCAGGCAGAGAGACCTCCACACAGCAAAGCAGCCCAGTCTGCTCCAGGTCCCCAAACAGCGGGCCACAGGACCCACACTCAATCTCCCTCTCATAGTGAGAGGCCCCCTTAGTCCTGCTCACACGTCACCAATTTACAAGCACCAGTTTCTACTAAAGCACCTCAAGCCAAACAGAAAGTGGTCATCGGTCAGTAGGACAAGGCAGAGACCTCAGAAAGGCACCGAACCCAGAATGACCTCTGGCTCTCACCCCTGCTCCATTCATCTTTTCAGGACACGTGATTTCTGTGCCTCTCAACTCACATGACCAGCAAAAGATGCTCCCAAATGAGGAGAGTCTCCTGGTCTCTCTCCCTCCCAATTTCACATACCCCAGTGGTGTCTGATGAGCCCAACGTGAGTCCAGAGATCACTCCTGCCCCAATGCAGTGAAGTAAGGGAGGGCGAGGCAATTATGGCTCCCAGGAGGAGTTGCCATAAGTGGAGGACTTGAGCCTTAGGCAGAGCTCTGCAGTGTGGCTGTATGCATCCTTGGGATACCTACCAACTTCCCTGAGCCACCTCTGTGTTAGGCAGGGTTCTCTAGAGAAACGAGACCAGAACACAATGATTTTAGATAGATAGATGATAGATGATAGATAGATAGAGAGAGAGAGAGAGAGAGATGGTAGATAGAGATAGCGATAGGTAGATAGATGTAGAGATGATAGATAGATAGATAGATAGATATGATAGATAGAGATAGATGATAGATAGATATAGAGATGATAGATAGATAGATAGATAGATAGATAGATAGATAGATAGATAGATAGAGATAGATGATAGAGATAGATGATAGATATATAGATGATAGATAGATAGATAGATAGATAGATAGATAGATAGATAGATAGATAGATTTATACAGCGAGAATGAATATAACAGTTCATTAGTCCACACAGCAGTACGGAGGGTTCAGTTCAACTCACTTCCATGGAACAGTTAATATACTGGAAGACCTTCAACTCACGTGGGCTTCCAGGTCCAAGGTCAAGGAAGCAGACAGCAGAGTCCTTGGGGCAAGGCAAGCAGAGTCTGTCCACAGGCAACAAGCAGCAGGGTGGGTCACCGACAGTCAGTAGCCCGGGAGCTTGCCATGGACCGGCTATCGAAAGCAAGCAAAGCAAGAAAAGAATCCAACAGCCGCAAGCTCAAGCGATGTGCGCACCAGCAGCGTGGTGAAGCAGGTCTCAAAGGAGCCTCAAGCTCCAGTGGCAGAAGCCGTGGGCTGGCCTGGCCCACAGGTGGTGTAGCTCACAGGTTGAGGCAGAGAACTAGCTATAGCAGCAGCACAAACTCCAGCATGCTACAATCGACCTGATTAATCAACCTGATTAATCCCACATGTTCCTATTGGCCAGGTTGGCACAATAAACCTATCACAGCCTCACACCTCCAGCCTAACTGCAAACCAGGACAGACAGTCCAGTCACCTCCCCCTCATGACCACCCCCGTGTATCAGAGTAGAACTTGACCCACGGATTTTCTTTTTCCTTCTATATGTTTAAAACCAACTTTATTCATGACACATTTTTAAAAGACAAACCAACTCCCACACCCTGAAACAAAACAAAAAAAGCAAAACCAAATCTGAAAAAAACCCAAAGGCTAGGAGCAAGCTGGTGCATGTCCCTGGGGGAGGGGGCAGAGGTGGGGGGAGGGGGCATGTTATCCAATTTTACTGGAGTCCTTGGACCCGCTGGGAGGAGAAGGGAGATTTTTAGATACGAAAGCTGAAAAGAATGACACTCAAATCGGGAAAAGAAACACAAAAGGAAACAGATGGGATCACCGGTGTTCTGGAGCGGCAGGGAGCCAGAAAAGAGGGTGGGTGGCCCACCTCACAGGATAGGAAGAGGCAGGGGGCCAAGCCAAGCTGTTTGGAGTCCTCCCAGAGCTCAGGGGGAAAAAAAACTAAAAAAAACCAACCCTCTGGCCACCCGCGCCTGCCTACACCTGAGCCACGAGTGCCCAGAGGCTGAATTGTGATGGGAAACCGGTGAACGATCTGTACCTTTGGGGAGGGTCCCTAGAGAAACCCCAGGGCAAATGGGCAGCCAGTCCCTTGCCTCACGTGGGTTTCTCCCCCTCCAGAGGGTTTTCAGTGGCTGGTAGAAATCCAAAGGAGTTCACCAGGCCTTTCTTATGCAGCATTTCCACCCACCTTCTGACCAGCGGCTGAGCGCGGTAGCCATGGGCACCACCCCAGAACGCCAAGCCTTTCCCAGAAGTGGCCCTTGGCCCTTCACCCTTGTGGAGCCCACACAGCCTGCCACCCACCTTCACTGAGCTTCTGCAGGGGGTGGGGAGGGGGAGGGGACAGGCGGTTACCTCATTACCTGTCATACGTTTAAAAAGTCAAAATAACTTTAAAAAAAATAAACTCACGGTCATCAAGTCAATGCCGACTCATAGTGGTTCTAGAGGACAGGGCAGAACTGCCCCTGTGGGTTTCTAAGACTGTCACTCTCTATAGGAGAAGAAAAACCTCATCTTTGTTCTGATGAACTGATGGTGGTTTTGAACTACTGATCTTGTAGTCACCAACCCACTGCACCGCCAGGCTAGAGCTAAAATGCAGCAGCTGCTTTACTGCAGGGCAGTGAACCATTCATGAGCTGAGCGGTGCGACGACGACGACGGGAGCAGCAAACGTTGCTTGGTGCCAAAAGCTGGTTCACAAGATGCTACCTGCTAGAAAGCTAAAAACAAAACGGGAAAATAACTTGCCAAAGAAGGAGTTGCCCCCAGCGCGCCTGTATTCCGGGACAGCCAGCCTGGGAAGCAGTCACGGGGCGCCCTCTAGCAGCAAAGTCTAGCATTAAGTTTGCCTGGTCCAGCTCCAGAATCTCAGGGCTGTTGCAGTAAGGGAGGTTTGGGAGCTGAGGGAGAAGACATTGATAACTGGCACAGAGAAAGGTCCACCTCCTCCTCGTTCCAGAAATCCATGGAGGCACAGAGCCTGGCCCAAGGGGAGCAAGTCTGGCCCCCAAAACATGCAGTGGTACCAGTCCAGGACGCTGCCACAGCAAGGGGCCAGAGTGAACCAACTTCTCTTTGAAGAAAAACATACCTGCTTTTAACCCCCTGGTTCTCCAGCCTCCCATCTGTCCCATGGGCTCCCCACACCCTCCCAACCAAGCCCTTTATGGCTCAAGTCAGGCAGCCTGCTGTCCCGTGTGCTCCGGAGCCTGCTGGATCAAGAGGTGGATGAGGACCCAGGACAGGTGGGTGAGGCCTGCTTAAGACAGCCCTGTGCGCAGTCAGAAGTTTCCGTTTCCATATTCTAGGATGGGTGGTGGGACTGGGCATTCTTTAATCAGATTTGTTGTAAAGATTCCAGTATTCCCAGAGAAAGTAATGAGGGCATTGGCAGAGCAGAGGAGGGATTAGCCAGGTGGGACAGAGAAAAGGCAGGACTTGCTACGAGTGGGAAAGTGGAGGGTAGGCTGCCGGACTTGGGCAACGGAGTGGCTCGTTTATTCACTCAACAATTTCTGACAGAGCACCTACTTTTGTGAAGTTCAGTCCCCGGGCTGTAGTCAGTCCACAGAGGGACTAGCAAGCTCCGAACTCATGGGGCTTGTTAGTGTCCAGAGATAAGCCGAGCTCACCTACGCACACAGCAGCGTTTTAAGCCACAGTTTTATTAAAGCACAGAGTGACTTCAAACGGAATAACGACGAGATCACCTTAAGCATCCATGAGATACACTTCCCTCCGGAGGCAACGTGGATCC